ATAATTGTGAGCTTAGGTAGTTCGGTTTTAGAAGGGGTAAAAGAAGAAGAAGAGAAGAAGAGATTGGATTTATACCCCGCCCTTCACTACCCAAAGGTGTCTCAGAGCAGCTTGCAAACTCCTTTCCCTTCCCCTCCCCCCAACAGATACCCTAAGAGGTAGGTGGGGCTGAGAGAGCTCTTTCCAGAGCTGTCCTTGAGAGAACAGCTCGTCAGAACTACGGCTTGCCCAAGGTCATCCAGCCGGGTGCAAGTAGAGGAGTGGGGAATCAAACCCGGTTCTCCCGGATTAGAGTCCACGCACTTAACCACTACACCAAACTGGCTCCAAAAGACACTTAAATATATAGATTTACAGATATATATTTATTTAAAACATTTATTAGCTATCGTTCTTCCTTACAGAGGTCAAGGTGGCATATCAACATAGATAAAATACATAATAAACTAAAATACGTGGAAAACTTAAAAGCCATCATTTACAAATCACAATTCCTGAGTGCTAATGAACTTAGCCGAATGCCATCCTAGCTAAAACCGTATTCAGCTGCCTCCTAAAGATCGAAAGTGAGGGGGCCAGGTGCACCTCCCTGGGAAGGTTGTTCCATAATCGTGGGGCTGCCACCAAAAAGTCCCCCTCTCACGTGCCCACCAAATGAGCTCCTTTGATTGGTGGAATAATCAGGACGTCCCCTCCCCATGATTTGCAGAGGCTAGTAAAAGATAAAACGCTCAGTGCTGTGGTAGGCTTAAATGGTATGAAGTAATGCATATTGATTTCTGGAGTTTGAAAACACGTTAGGAAGATTATTCCTTCCTTTATTTATTTCAAATGTATATTCCACCCTTCCTGCGAACAGGCTCAGGACAGGTCACAACAGATAATTAGGCCGCTCAGCACCACCAAAAAACTTTTTTCTTTTTATGCAAAAAAGAACTTGTATCCTAATTTTAATGACTTTTATTTATTTATTTTTTAACCAAATGAATTAAATCTCAAGCTTACTCTTGTCTCGCTAAATGATCAATCAATAGCTTTTTACGGTCGTGGACCAGCAGGATAAAACATATATTGTTAAGAATATATATACAACTTTCCATTGAGAGATATTAAAAAAGCACGCTTGCTTTTTAACTTCAGATGTTAAGAACATAAGAGATGCCAATGTTGGATCAGGCCAAAGGCCCATCCAGTCCAACACTCTGTGTCACACAGTGGCCAGAAATACCAGCGCCATCAGGAGGTCCACCAGTGCACTAGAAGCCCTCCCACTGTTGGCCCCCCCCCCCAGCACCAAGAAGACAGAGCATCCCTTTCCCCAGAGCCCCTATCTATATAGACCATGTGGCTAATAGCCACCGATGGACATCTGCTCCATATGTTTTATCCAATTCCCTCTTGAAGCCGTCCATGCTGGTAGCCGCCACCACTTCCTGTGGCAGTGAATTCCATGTGTTAATCACTCTTTGGGTGAAGAAGGACTTCCTTTTATCCATTCTAACCCGACCACTCAGCAGTTTCATGGAGTGCCCACGAGTTCTTGTATTGTGAGAAAGGGATATAAATAAATTGAATAAAACCAAGTACTGATCCCTGCGGTACCCCACTGCTTACCACCCTCCACTGAGAAAATTGCCCATTTATACTAAATCCAACACTGAAGGTAGATCCAGGTGGGCCGCCATGTTGGTCTGAAGCAACAGAACACAGAGTCCAGTGGCACTAGTACCTTGAATAAAACTTTGTTGGTCTTCAAGGTGCCACTGGACGTGAACTTTGTTCTAAATCCAACACTGTGCTTTGATAGACTCTGGCAGCTGCACAGGATGTGGCGACTCTGCCTGAGGTTCCAGATTCAAATTCTGCAGGAAGACAGGTGGAGTGGCATTCCTCCGAACTTCCTGGAATTTTTTTAGAGAATGGATGTAATAAATACATATCTAAGAGGCTATCATACTTTGGTCACATTATGACAAAACAGGAGTCACTGGAAAAGACAGTCATACTATGAAAAGTTGAAGGCTGTAGAGGAAAAGACCCAACATGAGATGGACTGACTCCGTCAAGGAAGCCACGGCCCTCAGTTTTTAAGACCTGAGCAAGACTGTTAACGATAGGATGTTTTGGAGAATGTTAATTCGTAGGGTCGCCATAAGACGGAACTGACTTGATGGCACTAAAGGTGAAGGTTTCCCTTGCTCAAAATCCAGTCGAATCTGACTCTAGGGGGCGGTGCTCATCTCCGTTTCCTAGCCGAAGAGCCAGCGCTGTCCAAAGACGTCTCCGTGGTCATATGGCCGGCATGACTAAACACCAAGGTGCACCAAATGCTGTTACCTTCCCACCGAAGTGGTACCTATTTATCTACTTGCAATTTCTTGCTTTCGAACTGCTAGGTTGGCAGGAGCCAGGGTCAGAGACGGGAGCTCACTCCGTCATGCGGCACACTCGGGTCTCGAACTGCTGAGCTACTGACCTTCCGGTCTGCAGTTCAGCATCTTAACCACTGAGCCACTGTGGCCCCTTGATGGGACTTAACACACGCACAAACACACAAAAGATTGTTATAGATAGGGCAGTGTAGCAGCAGGATGTCAACTGAGTGGTTTCAGTTTCCCTAGTGCTTGATAGATGTTGCAAAGGATCCTGTGAAGGCACGCTCAGATTATTTGTGGCTCAGTCCTGAAAAAGTGGGTTGTAAACGTGGGTCAGGCTGGATAGCCATTAGCAAGAGGCGTTTGGTGTCCTCAAATGAGAGCCAGCATGGTGCAGTGGTTCAAGTGTTGGACTACATAAGAACATAAGAGACGCCAATGTTGGATCAGGACAAAGGCCCATCCAGTCCAACACTCTGTGTCTGCAGCATGGAAGATAGAACCATAGACTCACAGAGCTGGAAGGGGCAATAGAGGCCATCTAGTCTAACCCCCTGCCCAATGCAGGGCCAGCCTAAAGTATCCCTAACAAGGGTTAATGTGTGATGTCATCAGTGTTCCCTCTAAGCTGAGTTAGTGTGAGCTAGCTCACAGTTTTTTAGCCTCCAGCTCACACATTTTTGTCTTAGCTCAGGAAGGGATGGCTCCAGAACAAATTAATTTATGCAGTAGCCAAAATTGCTCGCTCAGAACTTTAATGCCAGTGGCTCATAAAGTGGAATTTTTGCTCACAAGACTCCACAGCTTAGAGGGAGCATTGGATGTATGTGAAGTTTGGTGTAGTGGTTAAGAGCAGCGGACTCTAATCTGGGAGAACCGGGTTTGATTCCCCACTCCTTCACAAGCAGCCAGCAGGGTGACCTTGGGTCAGTCACAAGTTCTCTCAGAGCTGTTCTCTCCAGAGCAGTTCTCGCAGAGCTCTCTCGGCCCCCATCTACCTCGCAGGGTTTCTGTTGTGGGGAGGTCCATCAGTGATCCATCAGTGGCTGTTAGCCACAAGGTAGAGATAGGGGCTCTGTCTTCTTGGTGCTTGGGGGGGGGGTCAACAGTGGGAGGGCTTCTAATGTCCTGGCCCCACTGGTGGACCTCCTGATGGCACCTGGTATTTCTGGCCACTGTGTGACACAGAGTGTTGGACTGGATGGGCCTTTGGCCTGATCCAACATTGGCGTTTCTTATGTTCTTATGAGGGGAAGGGAAAGGAGTTTGTAAGCCACTCTGAGACTCTGAGTGAAGGGTAGGGTATAAATCCAACTCTTTTAATAAATAAATGCACTGAGGAAATAGAGTAATGTGGGCTTCAGTCAGTGTTCAGAAGACCTTGACTGAAATTGAAACCGTATCTTAATAAAATATAGAATTAGATAAATATCCCGCTTAATTGTTTGTGGAGCCAGGCAGTGAGCGATGTATCTTGTCGCCAATGCTCCCCTCTAAGCCGTGGAGTCTTGTGAGCAAAAATTCTACTTTGTGAGCCACTGGCATTAAAGTCGCGAGCGAGCGATTTGGCTACTGCATAAATTAGTTTGTTCTGGAGCCCTCCTTCCTGAACCAAGACAAAAATGTGTGAGCCGGAGGCTAAAAAACTGTGAGCTGGCTCACAGTAACTCAGCCTAGAGGGAACATTGTTTGTCACCTAGGCTGCTTCGCAGATTTCACTGAGCATTTTTCGAGCCTGCGTCCGCCCCCTCCCCCAAAGTGAGAAACTCGCTTGGGGGGGTGCAGCAAGCTGGGATTCTCCAAAGACTTTTCCTCCCACGGTCTCCTTTCTTTGCCTGGTTCTTTCAGGTATATTCAAGGATGCCAGGGCAAAGTAGATTTATTGAAGCCTGATAAAACTGTCGATGCCCAAAACAAGCATGTGAGAGATTTTAATCCAGGGGTGCCTGATCTTTTTGAGCCTGTGGGCACCTTTGAAATTTTGGCACAGTGTGGTGGGCGCAGCCACAAAACGGCTGCCACTGCTTACCTTTCGTGAAGATCTTTGTGCTGTAGGGGCAGCTGCTGCCAAAGCAATGTTTTTTAAAACTGCACAGCCAATCAGAAACCTTCCTGGGCAAAAGCTACACCTGGCCCCGCCCACATTCTAAAAACACTCGGCGGGCACCAAGACAGTGTTGGCGGGTTCTATGGTGCCCACGGGCACCCCATTCGGGGAACATGTTGTTATCTGATGAAAGGTAGGGAGGGGAGAGCAGATTTTAACATCTAGGAAACCCGAGCTGTACTTACTTTGCTCACTGCCTTCTGAGATCTTTCTAGGCAAAAAGAAGTTGAAAACTGAGTATTCTTCTCTTCCCCCCCCCCAAAAAAAAAGTTTTTTATTTTATTATAACCGACAAACAAACAAACATAAATACATACAATTCCGGGGTTTCATATACATCTCTGTTATATCTCTTGTGTTACCTCATACATTGGCTGCTTGTAATATTGTCCTCTGAGAATTAAAGTTAGTTTATCCATCTCAGCAGTTTCAAGTATTTTATTTATTGTTTCTTTTTTTGAGGGCACTTCTTTCTTCCTCCAATATCTGCCATATAATATTCTTGCAGTAGTTACTACATGTATGATAAGGTAAAAATCCTGGTTTTTTACAATTTTCTGGCATTATATTCAGAAGGAACAATTCAGGTATAAAAGGTATGGTACATTCCAACATTTTTTGTAACGTTTCGTGAATCCATGCCCAAATTTTTTTAACTCTATCGCAAGTCCACCACATATAGAAAAATGAACCAACGTTCTCTTCGATTGAAAACTTGGTAATTCGATTTGAGTGTTCTGCTTTTTTAGTGTGTCTTCAAAGGCTGACTCTTATATAATTGTACAACGTTAAGGACTGGAAAATGTAACAATCACATAATTGTCTACAGATGCTAATTGTAATCGCGCTAACCAGGCTTTCCAAGCCGTTAAAGTTAGTTAATGTTTAACTATACTTGGTATCAGTCGCTACATTATTTAACACTACACCGTGATTAACGATAACAGGGGAAGGAGGAGGGGATGAGAAGGAATTCCTAATCCCGTGGACTGCTCCCGATCTCTTAAATAAGTTTAAGAGATCAGAACCGTTACGGCTGGTCAGTAGCTATTTCATCTCGCCTAATGGTTGTGCTTGCGTTGGAAGCAGTTTCAGTCTGGGCACCTAAAATCCTCAGCCCTTCTCACTTCGGGCCTCCATAAACTTAGGAGAGGCCTCCTCTTAGATCGGGCTGCTTTCTCCATCAGGGAAAGTCATTCTCCTCTGGAAGAAGTCTTTCTTTCTTGAAGGAAGACTTAATGGAAGAGAGGCATGGGATCTAGCCCGGTATAGCTTAAATGACAGATTTGAATGTATTTGATCAGGCGAAATCATCTTTATTTCTTTCCATAATTTCAAGTATTTTGGTTTTTATTTTAAAAACATGTAACTTAAAATATTGTTTGTCAAGATTTATTTTCACAAGTTCTCTACTGGTTTGGGACCTTATGCAGTTCCGCAGGGCCTGCAAGACGGAGCTCTTCCGCCAGGCTTTCATGTAGGGGCCGCCACTACTACCATCACCAATGGCGTGGGTAACAGCGGGGCCAAGGGGACGGCCCTCGGAAGATCTGCCATAATATTGCGTGACGCTGGTATTACTGGACTGGCCATGTACCAACTACAGGACAATACCACCTCCAATGGAAGACCGATAGTATCTTGTAATTTATACGGAGACCATCTTGTTTCTACTGAGCACTTATTTTTGTTGATATTAATGGTTTTATCGGTTTTTCTTGTTTTTATGCGTGGGCACTTGTGCTCTCTTGTAAGCCGCCCTGAGCCCGCTTGCTGGGAGGGCAGGGTATAAATACAAAAAATATATATAAATTGGTAACATGGCAGGCTGCAGTATTTTTGATATTTCGATTTGTGTTAAAATAACAGTGCCTGCAAGCTGCAATTATGTTCATCATCAAATTGTCTTATTTCTTTTTCAGTTTGTGAAATGTGGGTACGCGGGCTCAAATTTCCCAGAACACATCTTCCCGGCTCTGGTTGGAAGACCAATCATTCGATCGACTACCAAAGTGGGAAACATCGAAATCAAGGTAATGGCAAAGGGAATATCTCGCTTGCATGGTACTCTGGGATACTTCCCCCCCCTGCCCCCGCAAAATAAACCTAATAAACCTTATATGATAGTCAAGGGCGTAAAGTGTGAAAATGAAAACTGAACGAAGGTTTCTCCTTGAAACCCGCTAGTATAAGTATGGTTTATGTAAGCTTTGGAACAGTTGTGCGATGTCACAGCTGTCTCTTAACCCTTGTCTTCAAACTGTTCAGATGAACAGAACTGTCATTTCTGGAACCCCCGTGACGTATCCCTGAGCGAAACGTAACTGTCTTGTATGAGATGCCTGAGTCTCTTAGATTATGAGCAAGTGGTGAATGTTAGAAAACAAAAAGGAGGCGTCTGCAAGCCCTGGCCTCGATAGCCCAGGCTGGCTCGATCTCGTCAGATCTCAGAAGCTAAGCAGGGTCGGCCCTGGTTAGTACTTGGACGGGAGACCATCGGGGAAGAGGAGGGTCGCTATGCAGAGGCAGGCGATGGCAAGCTACCTCTGAACGTCTCTTGCCTTGAAAACTCCACCAGGTCGCCATAAGTCGGCTGCGACTTTGACAGGCGTTTCCACCACCAGGGATCGGCAACATAAATCTAGCCGTGAACTGGGCTACTGCTGTGGCTGATCCCAGTCGCCCTACCATTTGCCCCGGGGAGTCCCTGGATCCCATGGGGATTCCAGAGCACAATTTTCTGTGCTTGTCTTTCACTGTGGGTCCAGGGGAGACAGCCGCGTACAAGATGTTGGAAGGTGCATACAAATGGAACAGACGGGTGGCATCTTGGGTCTGAGACAGGCCATGCTACGAAGCTAAGTAGGGAAGTTCACCCTAGAGGATCCTATTCTCTGCTTACCTTCTCACACAGCAGAGGCACTCCCTGGCCACTAAGGCAGGGAGGTGTCACGGCCACTAGTCTTTTTGGTGCAATATAGTCTAGTTGACTGAAAGAAAATTGGCCTGTGGAAGGCTTCTGTTGGGTGAGTAGGATGGGTCCTTAAGTGTATATGTCAGATTGGACACACGAAGAAGCTGCCTTGTATGAATTCAGACCCTGGGTCCATCAAAGTCAGTACTGTCAACTCAGACTGGCAGCGGCTCTCCAGGGTCTCAGGCAGAGGTCTTTCCCTTCACCTGTTACCTTCTCCTTTTCACTGTAGTTGCCGGGGATTGAACTTGGGACCTTCTGCATGCCAAGCAGATGCTGTACCACTGAGCCATGCCCTCTTCCAGATTGCTGCCCTCACTCTTTGTTTAAGTCTGAACTGTGTGCTATAGCTTATCCTGGAGGCTAGCAAGGCAGATTCCAGCCCAGCTTCCTTTATCCTGAATGCATGTAGTGGTGTCAGCCATTCACTTTTTAGCAGAACATGGAAAGAAGAAAGTGTATCTTTTCACTCTGCTTTCATTGTCTAGGACAGGGGTCCCCAAATGTTTTGAGCCTGCAGGCACTTGACACAGGACGGTTGTTTACAGTCACAAAAAGGCTGCCACAGGAGGTGGAGTCAATCACAAAATGGCTGCCACAGGAGGTGGAGCCAACCACAAAATGGCAGCCACAAGTGGCAGGGTCAACCACAAAATGGCAGGGAGGGAGGTTATATATAAGTCTAATAGTACCTCTTCAACGTTTCAGGCAGAAGCTCTGTTTAACAGAACGCCTTTTAATCTGCACAGCCAATCAGAAGCCGGAACATAGCCCTGCCCATGTTCTCAAAGCCCTCGGCAGGCGCCATGGCACCCATGAGCCCCATATTGACAACATAGCCCTGCCCATGTTCTCAAAGCCCTTGGCAGGCACCCATGAGCCCCATATTGATGACCCCAGGTCTAGGAGCATGTATAGCCTTCCTACCCATGGCATCATGTTATGTCTAGGCATGAGCATAGCTTTCCATTCATCGATCTTCTGTGCAGTCCCACATGGGGACTGCGCATAGGCAGGCCTGCCATCGGATAGGTCTGTACAGCTAAAAACCTCCAGGGGGCACTGTGTGCGGGAACCAGAAGCTTGTCCCCACCCAGGGACCACGTCCTCCTGTGGAGTGGCACCCCCTTACCCTCAGTCCCTCTTTTACCACCGAAGGAGAGAAGGTCATGCTTGTGGAGTTTCCAGTTACAGTCGAGAGGATTTTGTCCAGATCCATCAAAGTTACATTGGCTTTCCCTCCCAGTTCCTCTTGCATGCAGAGTTGCGATATCCAGCAAGATATACAGTGCTGTTTAGCAGGATCTCCTGAGAAACAAGAGTCCCATTGTCATGAGCCACTCCTATAAGAACGTGCCGTTTTTACATGGCTAATGCATGGTGCGACCAAGAGAGTACGCTCCCATCTTTTGTAAGATATGGAGAGAAGATGTGGGGGAGGAGTCTATGTCATGGATAGGTTGGACCAAAACCATTTTGAGATGTCAAGCTAGCCCCTCCGATCGTGAGAGGGGGAGTCAAATAGGACATCAGTGCTGGATGCTGGACCACAGATGCCCCGTGCTCTTAGCAATCCAGACCCAGATAGGTGGGCCGGTCTGGGTCATATTAGGCATCTCCAAAAACTCCCAGGCTCTGGGCAAGGGGGAGCTCGATCCTGACCTTTTCATAGCTCTTGTTATTACCTAAATGCAGGGTGCTTTTTTGGTGGGAAAAGGTTCCGGAACTCTCAAGAGGGAAAACAAGTTTTCCAATCTGTATTCTGAAAACTCATGAACTTTTAAACATTTCTAGAAGAATTTTGTCAAAGAGGTTCCGGAACTCTCAGAAGAATTTTGACGAAAAGGTTCCGGAACTCTCAAGAGGGAAATGAAGTTTTCCAATCTGTATTCTGAAAACTCATGAACTGTTAAACATTTCTAGAAGAATTTTTTCAAAGAGGTTCCGGAACTCTCAGGAGGGAAATGAAGTTTTCGATCTGTATACTGAGAACTCATGAACTTTTAAACATTTTCAAAAGAATGTTGTTGAAGAGGTTCTGGACCTCCGTTCCGGCACATTTCCCCAGAAAAAAAGTCCTGACTAAATGTGCTGTGTTAGGTTGAAATGGACGAAAGAATGGGTATTCTTGAGCTGTCCTCGGGCAGGTTCAGCCGGTGCAGTGGGTAAGATTGTGGAAGACAGATGCCCAAAAACCCATTAGGAGACCTTAAGTAAGCATTTCTGAACATTGCTAGCCCCTACTTGGGTAATGCGTATCTTGCAGGTTGGTTATAACAATTGCAATTTCTTCATTAAAATACTCATATTCTGCCTTTCCTCATGGTTCAAGGCCAACTTACAATAATAGTCAAAAACATTTTCAGGTAAAAAAAAATAGCAAACCCCAAATTTTCCCTCTCCCAAAATATGCCATTTGGATAATGTAACTCTGAACTATGAGGCGTTAGTATTATGCTATTACATGCTTTTTTTTTCTTCGTAAGAGGGGGGGAAATATTAGCCAGGATCAATAACTATCCCACTTCCTCTCAAAATGTGCTATAAATAGGGGAAGAGAAAAAGGGTTTGAAACGGAAGTGCAGAATATCTCTTCTGGCTCTGCAGAGCCTAGATTACAGCCGCTCTCCAAAATACAATGTTTACTGAAAGCTAGAGGCTAATTTCAGTAACGTAGGAGTGTGCAAAAAAATGTGCAGAAGTAGTGTTAGCGCATATCAGAATATCGGTGGAAAGAAGCATGTTAAATTAAGAGCCCACTAGAGTATGCCAGGAATATATCTGCTCGCTTTAATAGCTTGGCCATTTTTAAAATTTCCTCCCCCCTCCCCAGCATCTGTACAGTTGAAGGACAGTTTAGTGGCATCTGTCCAGGTGGGCAGCCATGTTGGTCTGAAGCAGTAGAACGAAGTCCAGCACCTTTAAGACCAACAAAGATCTTGAATAAGACTTTGTTGGTCTTAAAGGTGCCACTGGACTCTAACTTTGTTCTAGTGACATCTACATTTGTACTGTAGACTACCAGCTTTTCGATATGGTGGCCCAAAAGTCCAAATTTACTTGATACAGAGACCCAGCCAGGGCTGGCCCAAGGGGTTTTGGTGCTCAAGACAAACTATGTCCCTTGGTTCAGTGTTCCATTTTTCTACATTGGCCAACCAGATGTTTTTGAGAAGCCAACAAACATCACACAAAGGGTGCCGTTGCCCCCACTACAAACCCCAAGCAAGTGGCGTTCTGACACATGCAGCCTTTGCCTGTGGAGGTTACATTCCAGCCCCTGAGTCCGCCCTCTCCTTCTCCAAACCCCCCTCTAATCTCCCCTGAGATTCTAAGAAACTCACTCCAGTAACCATCAGGACACATTTCACTTGATCAACAAGGATATCCAGGGAAGAAAAAAATGCCAACTGATGTATGACGCGGAAGATACTGTTTCCAGGTTCAGATCTTGGCTCCCAAGATACTAAAGAGAGCAAGAAGAAGAAAAGAAGAGACTGGATGGATAACCGCGCGTGACCCTCTCAGAGCGGATCACAGACTCCGTTCCCTTCCCCTCCCCACAACAGACACCCTGCGAGGTAGGCGGGGCTGAGAGAGCTCTTTTGAGGTCTGCTCATGAGAGAACAGCTCTGAAAGAACTTGTGACTGACCCAAGGTCACACCAGCAGCTGCATGTGGAGAAGTGGAAATCAAACGTGGTTCTCCCAGATTAGAGTTTGTGCTCCTAACCACTACTCCAAACCTGGATAGCCCAGACTAGCCCGATTTCGTCAGAACTCAGAAGCTAAGCAGGGTTGGCCCTGGTGAATACTTGGATGGGACGCCTCCAAGGAATACCAGGCTGGTGACACGGAGACAGGCAGTGGCAAGCCACCTCTGAACGTCTCTTGCCTTGAAAACCCTGCAGGTTCACCCAGAGTCAGCCATGACTTGATGGCACGTTCTGCCACCAAGGAGAGCAACGGGAAGGGCAGGGGTGTCCACCAGGGAGGGTTGGTCTGCATGACCCACTTTCAGAAGCTTTGCAAAACACTTTTGGCTCCAGACCCACAAGCT